CGAGCTTGCAAACCGTAGCGGGTCTTGCCGCGTGCGGCCCTATAGCAGTTATTGTAAAGAGGGAGCAGTCAAGAACCTCCTGCGTCTCCTGATAGCCCTCGGCTCGGGAACACTTGAGAACTCACAGGAGGCATCGGCGCGAAGTCGTGGACGGAGAATGCTTTGGAAAGCCCAGGGAAAGTTCAAGTTTCCCTGGGCTTTTCGCGGCACGGGAAAGGCGAGGAGAATCAATTGTTCTCCTGTCGATGACACACACTGATGACAAGAGATTCTCCTCGCCGTTTCCTGGCCAGCAGGATGTGCAAGGAGAATCAAATGTTTCCCGGAGAGGGAAACCAGTTGAACAAAGGGAATGCCTTTGTTCTGCCCTCAGGAGAACTTTTGATTCTCCTCGCATCTTCCTCGCCACGTGGCAAACGACAAGGGGAACATGTCATTCTGGTCGTGTCACCGGTTCCGACGGAACAACATGTTCTCCTCGCCTTTCACGGTACGCGAAACGAACCTGAACATTCCCTGGGCTTTCCGACGCATTCTCCTCTCCGGAAAACACACTTATGCCTCCTGTGACTGGGGGAACGCGCGGAGCCGCGCTCCGCGTTTTCAAAAGCTCGACTGTCCCACGGCACCGGCAGGGCAGGATAGGCAATCCCGCCTGTAGACGTAGCGCAACTGACCGCTATGCTGGGTGCGGGGTGGCTGCGTATGAGCATGGGCGCGCGGGGGAAATTCCTCGAGAAACTCTATATTGATTTAGATATTTTGAGTGAATTCTTTTCGGCTAAGCGAACGCAAATAAATCGCGGAAAACCGAGATATATTGAGATCTCAAGGTATCCTGCTTGTACGCAAATTCCGACGTCAAAGTACCCTCCTCAAGGCGCCATATACGACGGTCAGCTCGCCAGCCAGCTGGACACGCCGCGTCGTACGACTTGAGATTATCTTCAAAATAGCCTCGCCGCGCCGCGCCGTTTCCAAAACGGTTCGCATTCGCGGCACCGCGGCGCGGCGAGCGGTACCGCGCGTTCCCCCAGTTCTCAAGTGTTCCCCGGTCTTGGATCTCAACCGATGAGCAACCGCCTCAATGAGACAGCACCGCCGCAGCATCATACTGAAAACCCAACCAGCCCATCAACAGCTGGCGTCGTTCCATAGTGACCGTCCAAGTGGTAAGTAGTGCTACAAGGGGAGGGGGGAGGGTATTAGGGAGTTCCGACAACGAACCAAGAATCTACGATATAACGTGCAGTCCCAAAAGAAGGCGATGATGCAATAATATGCTACAGTGTAAGGAGGCGCAGAACCAGGATCATCCGGCGTGAAAGGGTCGTCATGAGCAGTAGGAGATGGAAGCATTGGAGAAGAGAAAGCGAGAGGTGTGGTTGTAGGATGTGATGCGGAGCAGCGTGATATGTATGTATGTATGTTCGTAAAGAGACGAGACGAGAGCAGGAAGATCATGACGAGGGTAGAAAGGCATGCACGGTCGAATCAACCGACCGTACACGAGCCGCACGACGCGACCCCCGTACCGCGCAGGTCGCACGTCTGGAGGGCACTGCCGTTACAAAACGCAGCCTGCTGCGTAGAGTCGAACGTAAGGTTCTGGTTATTCACAGTCCTACGCCAACAATCAGCCACCCCATCCAGATCATATCATCAAGTAAAGACAGTACTCACAGAGACGTCAAGGATCCTTTGGCGATGCTATCCGGCAAACTCGCGTCCAGACCCGGATTGCGAACGAGTGTCAGGGTCATAAGCCGACTGAGCGAGTCCGGGAGCGATCCTTGTAAGGCCGTAGACTCAAGATGTAGAGATGTGAGGTTGAGCGAGGAGAATGTGGATGGTAAGGGCCCGGCAGGGATCGTCGTGTTGCCGATGACGCTGAACGTCTCGAGCGCGGTGAGAGCGCTTATTTGGGCTGGGATGGCCGCGGGGATGGCGGGTGTGACGAGTTGGCTGGAAACGGATGGTCAGTGATAGGTACGGGGGGAAAAGAGGGGGAAAGACGTACATCGAGGAGACCTGTCCCGATCCATTACACCCGACCCCGCCCCACGCACAAAACTTGGCATCCTGCACCCACCCCACAGCCTCGAGCGCCGCCTGCGCATCACTATCCGCGTCCTCCCACAGCGACCGCACACCGCAGAACATCGTCGCGTCCGCCGCCGTCTGTGCGATTGAGCTATCGCTGACGTTGACAGACTGTACACGGGGTAGGCACTGGGCGCAGGGATAGAGCGTGGGATTGGACGGGGCGTTGAGGGTGTACTGCGTGAGGCAGGACTGCTGTTCGGGCGTGAGAGTGCTCCACGCGGACGGAGCGTCCGCGCCTGAGGACGTCGTAGGTTGACCGAGGGGGAAAACGCGAGTGTTGAGCGCGACGACGTTGCCCATGAGCCACAGGATAATCAACACCAGCACCCAGATCAACACCTTCCTCCTCCACCTCGCCAAAATCCCCTCCTTCTTCTTCCCCTGCCCATGACTATGTCCGTGCGAGTGATGATGGCAAGTACAAACAGCCGTCGCCTGACTATCCGCATTCTTCTTATGAATATTCAACGGCTCCCACGGCGGCGGCATCGGCCCCGGCTGCTGGATCGGCAGCTCGAACACCGAGCCCGTATTGCGCCTCCCGCCAAACCGGAACTCGAAAAACCGCCTAGACATTCTGTCGCGGAACGTCTCGGCTGTCTTGGGCGTGGGCGGGTGATACTGACGTTCGGAGTCGTAGGCGTAGTCCTTGTCCTTGCTAAACCCGTGCTCGAGGTCGCGGTACTTCGTCGGCGGGGAGAAGGTGCGGTAGGCCGTTGAGCCCGAGAAGATGCTGAGTGTCGTTGGGCGGTAGGGCCGTGGTGCGGGCGGGGGCTCGACGGCGTGTGGGGGCACTGGCGCGTGCGTCTGCTGGGTGGCGGATTTGAGCTCAATATCGTCGAGCGCGTGTTCGTGGGGAGTGTCGGGCGAGAAATGGGACGGTGGTTCCGTATAGTCGTTATACACAGAAGCGAGCGAAAGGTGCTCTTTGAACCGCGAGGGCCGGTTCCATGATTCGGTTCGTTGTCGTTGGGAGTCTGATGCAGCCATAAAGGGCGCAAAGGGTCGTTAACGGCGAAAGAGTGAAAGAGTGAGGGTGAGAGGGTGACGAGGGCGGGAGGAAAAGGCGCAGACCACGTCGAGCAGAGTATATGAGATGGACGATCCACCGCTTGTACCCCAATTGAGCAGGAGAACAATACGGAACGAGGACACAGTCAGAGTACGTCCCGATTTGTCCGGATAATGAGCGCGCAGCCCATTGTTCTCCGCTCGACTAGCTTTACTTCCGTCCGCTGGTGTATATCAGGACCACTCGTGGTAAATAGATTCAAAGTGTGTATTGCAGGGCCCTGTGTGAGGTTAGGAGGAGTAGGTGGACGTCGTTCGTCGAGAGCACCGCGGCGCTTCGGGCGGCGGTCGGCCGGGCGTGGGAACGGTTTTCGAACAAGAATGGAGCGCGCAGCGTGCACGCGTTCTGCGCGTTTATTTTTTGTCGTTGGTACGGAGAACAAGAGCGACGCTCTAATACGTAGGTAGCTGTCGCTACACGTATGAAGCCACGAAGCGCAAGGCGAGGCGATGCCTCCCAACGACAACGAAGCGCTCGAACAAGAACAATGCGTATCTCATTTCCCACGCTTCAAGCAAGCGGAATGGTGTCGCCTTCTCAACGGATGGCAAGCGGAAAACGTATAGAGATGGTAGATGAAGGTACAGATGGAACGAGCATACATGCAATACGAATACGATCGCTATGCATCGGCCAGTCCGGCTTTTCTGTGTCGTCTACGCTTCTTCTTCGCCGGCTCGCCCGCCTCCGCCTCTGCATCTCCGTTCGCAGCCGCCGCCTCTTCTCGTTGCCGCTTCCCCGTCTCCTCTCCCTCTCCCTCGCCCGCTTCAGCAGCAGCCCTAGCCCTCAACCGCTCCTTCTTCCCCATCCTCTTCTTCTCCCCCTTCTCCCTCTCCCCATCCTGCCTCCCTTCTCCACCAGCAACCTGCGTATACACCCCCTTGGCACTAAGCTTCTCATGCAGTTTCTTAAGCTTATGCGGCCGATTCGGATCCCATTGCGTCTTCTCCTTTCGATACGGAGCGTACTTTTTGAGACCCATGAACTCGTTGAGGTCGCGGTCGTCTGCGAGGAGGATGTCGACGGGGGAGAGGCCGTAGGTCGTTGGGGCGACGGGTGTGTATTTAAAGCGTGTTGGGAGGCCGCCGACCTATGGCACGGACACATAGTCAGAGGATGAGACGAACAAGCAAGTGCATGGGAGGGGATACATACGACGTCGTTGAACTCCATCCCGTACACGTCCTCCATATACTTATCCAGCGCCCTCTTCCTCATCTCCTCCGTCCCATCCCACTCCTCCTCCCCATCCTCCCCCTGTACAGGCTCAACGTCCGCATCCATCATATCCACATCAACACCCTCGTCCTCCCCAGCCCCCGCCTCCGCATCCCGCTTACGCTTCTTCTCCTTCTTCTCTTTCTTCTTGTTCTTTTTCCGGTCGCGGTTGTTGAGCGCTGTCGATGTGGATGTTGAAGGGCCCGCGGCGTTTTCGTCGTCGTCGGAGAGGTGGATGTCGCCGATATCGATGTCGTCGTCCCACGTTGGCTTTTCGTCGTCTACGAACCCTTCGCCGACGTCTTCGCCTTCGACTTCTTGAAGCACAGCGGCCATTTGGCGGTCGTACTCCTCCGGGTCCCAGTCGCCGTCTACATCGAGCGCTTGCAACGCTACGAACACACAATCAACATCCACTCCCTTAACGCAGTAAACAGAAAGAGAACGTACCCTGGGCACCAGCCCACCCGCCCTCCTTCCCGATCCTCTCCAGCTTCTCGTTCATCTCGCGCAGCTTGAGGTTCTTCAGCCGCTGGATCTCCTCGCGCTTCTGCTGCTTCTCCGCCTCTTTGCGCTCTCTGCGGCGTTCGCGGGCCTCTTTGCGCTTTTCGGCGTGCTCGGAGGGGCGGCGGACGGACTCGATTGTGCGGGGGAAGGAGTGGATGTCGGCTGCTTCACTGTGACGAGGACATGGGGTGTTAGTAGGGAGTATAGAGAGAGGAAAAGGGGGGAGGGAGGACGCACGGCTCTTCGAAGCGGAAGTTGTAGGACGTCTCGAACGCCTCGGCCACGTCGTCGAACTCATCGTCGTCCTCCTCAATCGCATTGGCGCCCGTTGCGGGCGTCTCGCCGTCCTCCTCCTCGGCGTCGGCCTCCTTCTTCGTTTTAAGCGAAGGACGCGCGGGCGCGATCTCTTCGAATGTGGGGAGCCGTTTGGAGTTGCGGTCGATCCAGCCGCGGTTCAGGATGTAGCTGTGTGACTGTCAATAAATATAGTTTACGAGTAGGGTATACGAATGAGACGTACTTCATGAGAAACTCCTGATCGCTCTGCGCCGGCTTGTCCTCGCCCTTCTTCCCCTTCTTTTTCTTCTTCTTTTTCTTGCCCTCCTCCGCCTCCTCCTCCACCTTCTCGCGCACATCGCTCTCCTCGACTTCGATCAATCCTTCAAGCCCCTTGACCTCTTTTTCCAGATAAGCCCTGTACTCCGCCTCCTCCCTCGCGACTTCATCCTCCGTCTTTTCTCTCAACTGCAGCAGATCATCCTCGTCTTCGTCTTTGACGTCGTTGTGGAACGCCGCGATAGTTTCGGCGCGTAGGGCTTCTTGCTCTTCGACGTGTGTAGGCTTCGCGGGGGCGTCCGAGTCCGAGTCTGAATCTGAGGTATTGGGGTCGAGAATGTCGACGAGTTGCTTGGTGTTCAGCCGGATGGGCTTGGTCGACTTTTCCTTTTTGCGCGGGGCGGGGGCGGGTAACGCGCCGGATTTCCCGTGTTCCTCTACAAAATAATCAATATTCTGCACCACCAGTATAGCTGTAGGGTAGACTGACCACGCACCGTCGAATACATGTTTCCCACTCTCGTATATCTCCGGGTCCTTATTCCGGATCCTCGCGAGCGTGCGCAGGATAGCAGCGTCCACCGCAGGCGTGAGCTCCTCGCCGTCCTCGTCTTCACTTTCGTCCGATTCTGAGTCGCTCTCTGAGTCCGAGTCGCCTTCTTCGTAGTCCGAACCGTACTTCTCCTTCACTGTACACCACCATTATCAGGGACGTTTATTGATGAAGAGAGATGAGTGGGAAGGGCACGCACGCTTGGCCAGCTCCTCGCGCTCCTTCCTGTACTCGTAGGCCTTGGCATAGTGCTCGTTTATCGTGATCTGCAGGCCGTCGTCTTCGACGTCGGACCCGGATTCGGAGGACGAGTCGAGCAGGTCTTTGGCCATGGTGATGGTGGGGGCCTGTGGCGAGTCGCGTCAAGGCGCGTTCAGTTCAAACTTTTTGCGCGAGCGCGGACGCGTTTGATACATAGGATGGACGCGGCGCGTCGCGCGAGTTGTGATTTGGTTCTCGACCACCACCATTGCTGGTTCTCCGAGCTGGAGACCCCATTGCGATAATTGCATGAATGCGTGGCTCTGGGATATGTCAATAAATGTGAAATCAGATCGATAATATCTCGAACGGCTGATGGACAGGCGTAGAGGGGAAGGAGGGCAACGTCGTCACCGCGCTCAAGACCCGCGTTTTTCCTCTCGGCCAGCCTACGACATCTTCAGGCGCGGACGCCCCGTCCGCATGAAGTACGCTGACGCCCGAACAACAGATCCGCCTTACGCGGCACACCCTCAACGCCCCGTCCAACCCCACGCTCTATCCCTGCGCCCAGTGCCTGCCCCGCGTGCAGACTATCAACGTTAGTGATAGCTCGATCAGCCAGACGGCCGCGGACGCGACGATGTTCTGCGGTGTGCGGTCGCTGTAGAAGGACGCGGATAGTGATGGTCAGGCGGCGCTTGAGGGTGTCGGGTGGGTACAGGATGTGAAGTTTTGTGCGTGGGGTCGGGTCGGGTGTAATGGATCGGGGCAGGTCTCCTCCTCGATGTACGTTTCTTCCTCTCTACAACCCCTCCTTGAACTTGTGGTGACTGTGACTCTCAGCCAACTTGTGACACCCGCCATCTCCGCGGTCGTCCTAACCCAGATTAGCGCTCTCTCCGCGCATGAGACGTTCAGTGTTGTCGGCAACACGTCGACGCCCGCTGGACCACGCCCATTCACATTCCCCTCCGAGGAGTGGCCTTCGTGACTTGGATTCTACCACCATGGTGAGTCGTCTGAGCTCGTTCAGCCACGACCGCCCATTGGCGTGTAACACAATGATACGTATCACGCATGGGAAACCTCCTGCAGAACCACTGTCGCACGATGCTCATGACTCCAAGGCTACAGCCCGTTGTGAAAGGCATAGCCGCTTGATGCCAGGACGTGGATCAAGATACCTGTACGAGCTCTTGACACGCTTTGAACGCTACGTTCCAGCGCGACGAGCCGATCAGACCTCCAAACCTGGCACGCCTAGACGCGTACAATAGGCATTGTGCATACTTGGGATGCGACTGGAGGCTGGATCATATTATTGCACCGGTATGGCTCTAGCTTCTTCTTTCTACGATATGCCGATGCCTATGAGATCTAGTCGCTTAAGCTGCATCGCGACCGGCTCAGATCGAGCACTCAAATATCCATCTGCAACGGTCGGCGTCTATTAGTACCCCGTCTATTGCTTTTAAGGCAAGGGTGTGTACACGCCATGTTGCAGTCCCGCATAAGGCCCCAAACCGTGATCCGCTCACTTTCTATATGTAGGGAAGGGTATTGTCAGTCTCGCCCCGGCTCTCTCGGGCGAGCCAGTAGTATGTCCTTGGGCCCGACATTCCCAACGCCTCACCTGCAGCCTGCAATCCCTGCGGCAGGCGTACCTCACCTGCCCTCGACTTGCACATTCCCTGTGCGATTCTCACCAGCTCCTTCGTCGACACTGCCCACTCCTGTCTCAACCGCCCCCCTCCCTGCCATGCCGCGACACTGGCGTAATGACTACTCGAATAACATTCGGCCCGTGTTCCTGCGCTCTCCTCTTCGCGGCACCTTCATCCTCTTTTGTCTGATTGCATACGGTCAACCGAATCTGGCAACACAATGGCGCATCATACACGACACTCGCGCGTTTCTAGAGGAAAAGAGCCGCCTGGCGAGGAACATAGGGACTGTCAACATCGTCGTAAGACCGGACGCATCGTGCTTCTCGTCAATGCATCGAACTTACCATAAGATCGATGTTTCAGGCCGCTTTATTGCTTGCGACCACGGCAACTTTCGTCACGACGCAACCGCCGAGGACGGATATATTCGACTACACCCAACGTGGGCCGTACATATGTCTCCTCGCCTCCTTTGGCCTCTTACTCTTCGGGGTCATAGTCGGCTCTGCGGCTCAGTTTGTGTTATCGTCGTGTACGCAAGCACTCGTGCTCAATGTAAGGCTATCACCCACCTCGCGATCTACAGCGACTGACTGCTCTCGATAGACACTCATGGGAACTAGATTCCGTGTCTGGGTGATCATGTCATCGCTCGTCTATCCTTTCTTTGCTATAGGAGCTGCGGCCAGCGCTAACATTTTCGGTAAGACCGATCAACAATCGTGCGTTGGACTCCTCATTGACAGGACTACCCAGGTTTACTCTCATCTGCGTGGACCTCTGAGGACAGCATGGTCAAAGTTGCAAGTAGCTTCCTGTTTGCCGTGCCTATACTACTTCTTGTACTCTTCCTTTCTATAGTCAAGGATTTCGACGATGACGCAGACTCGGAAGGTGCTCAGACGATGTGATACCCCTATGTTGTGCAGTATCATGTTGCAATAGATAACTGAGAGCCTTGACTCTTCCCGAAATTTACTCTCGTGCATGAGCGAGAGCTGCGAACAGTGGCACTATAGCCAACGGTGAACAAGTACTGCAAGAGCGCAGCTTAGAGGCGTGCGAAAATACCGGCCCGAGCTCTCCGAGTGGCCTCGCGTACTCGGCGTGAAGCTAATCTCAGTACTTGCCACCTGCGTTCATCGTGATCTCAATGTTTCTTAGAACGCTGCGCTCTTTGAGTGAAAGACTCACTACCTCTAGTAGCTCCCCGGTTGAGCCCGGTATTCACGATACAGGCAGCAACGCGTCAGCCGTGGAAGATGCCAGCGCCGAGCAGCTCGACACGGAGAACCAGCAATGTGCCCAGCAAACACGGACCACAGATATCCTCGACTACAAGCGTCGATATAACGACTCGTTACCCTTCGTTCGTCCTCCTGACGATGTCTTAATTGTCATATTCCTCCACCTTCGCGATCTCAGGGCTGCTTGCGAGCCACCAGCCCTCCATGTCCCCGAGTGGGTGTCCATCACCTGGGTCTGCCACCGCTTTCGAGCACTTTGCCTTGACTACCCTTTGCTATGGTCCTACATCGGAGACTACTATGCTGCATGGTTGCGTGAGTTTACCGAGCGCTCGAGGCCGATCCCACTGGATGTCGACATGCATGTGGATCTCCATCAGAGACAGTCGCCGTCGTTGGAACGCGTCTTGGCGCGCCAGCATCGAATGCGCACACTGATATTGGATGGAGAAGAGTTTATCATGACCTTCATCGTGCCTCTCCTCCTAGACTCGCCCACTCCCGAGCTTACCACGTTTTGTCTGCGGACACATACACTATCCCATGGCTCGCCATACTTCAGTGACGAGGCGATGTATGATGGCGCGCCCGGGAGGAGCATGTCAATACTTCTAGATGCGCCTTGTCTGCGCTCGTTGAAACTGTCGGGGAGGCTCTTAGCCCATATCGATCCCTCTTCGACTCTGCTCCCATCGTCTCTCGAGGAGATCGACATCGAAGGATGTTACACGGCACACGAGCTGCACACGTTGCTGCGGGGGGTGCCCAACATCCGTTCCTTTACAGTGAGGGGTGCAAAAATGATCATACCACGATCGAGCCTCACTGCCGTACGGGCGCATGCGTGGACCCCACTCGAATTACCTCATCTCTGCTCGATCAATATCGAGGTCGCCTCCGACGAACACTTGACTGATCTACTACTCAGCCTTGTGGTGCCCTCTCTGCGCCTCACGCATTTGATCTTCTCAGATTGCGATCCACATTCAGATACTGCGAAGGTCACCGGCCTATTATCGGCCATTCGTACTCTTCTAACAAGGAGTCACGGAGGAGCTCGATTTCAGAGCTTACGTCTCTCCTCCCTCGTGGACCATTTCAGGACTGCAGACTCCATGGATCGGTACTGTCTGGCCGACAGCATACACATGTGGCATTCTTCCAAAACGGGAACAGATGCTGTAACGCCATACCGACAATCTACGGCGGATGCGCTGGTCACGTTCAAATCGCAGCATTCTACGTATTTCCGACCAATTCTGCAAATGCGGAACTTGTCGCCCTTTTACCGGCGCCTCTGCGAGGTGTTTTCCCTCAGCGATGTGCGGACGTTGACGATAGATACCGAACTCGCGTACTCTGCGCAAGGATGGGCTGACATCGTACGACCACTTGCCGGCGTCGAAGAGATCAAGTTCGTCGATCGCCACGGACGACTTGCTGCAGCCTTGGACGCGTTAAGCTTAACTCCATTCGTCCTCCCGACGTTATCGCGTCTTGTGATGTGCTTCGGCTTGCGCACATCGGTCACGCCTCCGCCTCTCCTAGAGGAGTTGAGCGGGGTAGCGAGGACCCGCAGGAAGGGCACTGAGCGACTTCGTATCGCGTTCGAAGGGTGCCCGCGATACCTTCCGGCCCTCGATGAGGGATTGAGGGAGATCGCGGATGTTACATGGGACAATGTAGGCTTCTTCGATGACGGAAACACTGAGATTGCGGGGCCATGGTTGGCTCTCATCTCAGGGCTTTGAGTTCCAGAGTTGCCAGGCCATGGCGGACGACTCATCACCGTACATATTGAAATCTCCATACCCAACCCGCTGTCCGCATGTGACAGTCTTCACCACTGCTTGAAACGATTCCCTTGTAGCACTATCTCCAGACAGGCATACTATGGAGTCACGTCAGCTGATGCATTGGCTGGTACCTCAGCCTTACTTCCGCATGCCGGCTCGCGAGGATTCTCTCCCACATCGCGCGGTGTGCACCGCGCGTACATGGCAGTGAACAAGAGAACGGTTTCAACACCGCGTGCCTCCTCTCGTCCGAAGCGCACAAACTTGGCCTTCTTTCCCCACTACCGACCCATCGCGTCGTCCCCACATCAGCACCTGCCCGCTTAGTTGTAGAGCCCTCGCGCTCCTGTGCTCGTACGCCTTGATACAGGGCCCGTTACAGTGATCTGAAGCCCGTTGTCCTCGACAGCGAACCCGGATTTGAAGGACAGGTCCAGTAGGTCTTTGATCACGGTGGTAGTAAAGGCCTGCGGCGTGTCGCGTCAAGGCGCGTCACGGTTCAACCTTTTTTAGGAACGTGCGTTCCACCGACAACCACGATTACGCGGCCTCAGGCCTCAGTGGACGTTAGGTTCAAACTTCTTGCGCGGACACGGACACGTTTGCATGGACAAGGCGCGAGTTGTGGCTTTCGTGACTTAGCTGTTGACCACAAGACACTCTTGTATGTACGATATGTGACTACGTAGTACATCCACCCCCATCAACAAGTCCGGACTCGAGGCTTTAGAACAGCTTTCTCCCAAAGATTTTCGACTGCCACGGACGCGATCCAGAGCGCGGCAACAACGACCGGGACATGCCCAATGGCTCCGCATGACGCGCTATATCCCCTCCAGACGGATGTATGCAGTACAGTGGCATGTTCGACTGATCCAACCCCATCCTACGAAGCTGCTCTGGACTAAGATCTTCGAGGTTCCGGACTTTGACTTTGCCTGTCAATGAACCCGCGCTGAACGGTACGACCGAGCCTGTCAAACAATGACCTCCAGACGGACGGGCGTGGCTTGGAGAGGTAGGAGTTTTCCATCTATGCACACCAAGCATAAGTTCACACATCGGGATTCTCTGTATGTGGGAGCGGTACCGTTTCGCAAGGAATTGAACGATGATACTCTGGAACGTGCACATGGTAGACCGAGCAGTGCTGTTCGGCTTCACATTCGCAGCCCCGGTCCTCGTCCGCATTTCTGTGTAACTACTGCATTGTCCTACTTGTGTAGGCCGTTGCTCTAGTTCTGCTGAAGAGCCGCCTGGATATGGTCAGCACTTCAGATCATCAAGAGACCGTAGCGCACCCAGTCTCACCATGCACCATCATCGCGATCAAACCCCCTCGTCGCGTTTCCGACAGCTTCGTGCGTGGCATACAGGCGTCCGCAACCAATACTGGTGAAATTCAGGTCAATCCAAAAGTGCATCAAGTTGATAGATCCCACTAGCTTACCAGATCATGCGACCATTGTCCAAGGCCATTTCGGCTCCATCTGGTGAGCGGTGACAGTATGGACAGCGGGCGGCTTGGTCTTGAAGTATGATGCTCATGGTCAACACGTCACCAGGCTTAACGGCCTCCGTCCACTCTTCTGAAGTAATGAGGAGACGCTCTGAGTTGCCTATGCCGTAACTGTGTTTCACGACGTAGGTCCAGCCCTGGGGGCGGTTCATGAACGCATTCAATATGAATTCGTGGGTCCTCTATGCACACGCAGTAAGATGAGCGGTATATACACAGGCAGACACCGATTTGAATAACATACCGCCCGGGATGAGTAGATATCAGGCTGCAGGGTAAGAGCAACGCCGAAGACATCGATGATGGTGACGATGTCTGGCGCACGCGCCACAGGACGCGTGACAGTGTTGAGTTTGCAGGCCATGAACAGCAACAAGAAGCTGCAAGCCACCCCCAGAAACTCCATCGTGCGTAGTGCGCCATTCGACGCACTCCGATGCGTTGCCTGTATCGCAAGACCGCTCGGGTTGAGGTAGGCGGAGCTGATCATATGCGCAAAGAGAAGCGCTATGGCCCTCCAGACGGCGTCTTGATCGTCCAGATCCAATCGTGCGATGACGCCTTGAATATGGCCGACGCATACCCGCCAGTCTGTGGCAGGAAAAGATAGGGTGATTTGGACTTGGGAGGATGCATTTGACGGACGGCTATCCTGATCCATGTCAGCTTGACGACCCCCAATCAGCCCAAGGTTTCGGATGAACAGATGAAGAAAGCATCACGTACGGGGGTATCCTCTTACGAGACGGGATTCGCTCGAGATCATGCCATCTTGAAGTCTTTGATCGATATGCCCGACTAGAACGATCTACTCAGCAGGAATGTGCCACCGAGTGGAACAGTTGTAGTCACCGATATATTCTTGGAGAGCTGGAAGAGCGTATAGGACAGCATCGACATGGCGTTGTGTTTGCGCGTGTCCTGGAGTTTTGATTGGATCAGAAATGACAGGCTGGGTCCGATATGAGACCAACCTTGCACTATATCTGATGCCATATTCTGGAACCCAGCGTCCATACGTCGTGAGATCCGTGCCTTAGCTGGGATATCCGGGTTTGAGTGCGATGCAGCGCGTAACAGGCAAAGATGAATTGACCTTCGTGAAGATCGTAGGACATGTCATGCAAGGAGACAAGAACCTCAGTAACCGACATCTTCTCCTCGTCCGATGCGATCTCCTGTACTTTCCTCAGGCTAGCGCCTATGTCATCGCTTTTGACGAACAAGGCCTTCAAGAAGTGATCTTGGATCATAGACATCAGACTATGACCGGTACGTCGGTGTTATATACCCACTGAGGCGACTCCGGCGTAACATCTTCGTCGCGAGCGCGAAAACGCGTAGCATTTCTGCTAGACATCGCACGGCTATCGCCCTCGCCTCGCAGCCCAGCGGTATCATCAATCGCACTTTGAGACGTTCAAAATACACGGACAAGCGTTCGAGAAGGGTCTGGACATCGTCAAATGCAGCGCTCACTTGCTCTGCCGCCTGAGAAGGAGTGTCAGAACTTTCTTGACGTGAAGCACGATAGCACGCACTTTGATGAGTACTGCAACTGCAGCAAATATACCTTTGCCGCCCGGAACGCCCTGTGGTTCACTCAGCACCCATGCACCGCTTCATTCAATGGATGGCGTACGAGAGACGACGCTGTTTCTGCGCTTGCGTCGAGTACGACACCAAGCGCGTATACAACGGGCTTGACCACCTCACGAAGACGCCGCGCCACTCCTTTCCCGTTGCGCCTCTGAACGAGGAGATGTGCCGTATCCTCAATGATGTCGAGGATCGCGTCGATCGTGTCGCATTGTCGCACTCGGCATACCAAAGGGTCGTCTGAACCATTCAGATCCACATTCACCGATTCATAGTACTCCTCGAATGCGGACTCCAAGATGGCGTTGATAGAGGTTATTCTAGGCCGCTCGCGTGGGAGCGCGACGGGGTCGTCACGTCGATGTGTGAGGCTGGAACTTTGAGCAGGAGAGGGACGGGAGGCGAGGTGTCCGAACCGGCGCATGGAGTGCGACATGGGGGTACGCAAAATGAGTCGCACTTGCTGTACACAGCCTGTATCTATCCCGGAGCGCCATGCACAACAGCATACAACGTGCTTGCGCTTCGTTGTGGGAACATGTGGGCGTTTGTAGCGTGTAGGAGGCTGTAGCAACACGCGCCGGTGGCAGATCAAGCCCATGAATCTGTGCAACTAGCTAAGCACTAGGCACGATATCATAGCGAGCCCTTGCTACGATGAGAGTAGCGAGTAGATCAAAGCGTGTTGAACACGATAAATGCCAGCGGATTGTGGTGCCCTTGACATGGTAGTCGCGGTCTAAAACGCCCTGGGAATTCTTGTCGTTGGCGCCCACGGCTTGCATTGAAATGCCCGCGCCTGAGGTCGCGCCGCCGTTTGCATCGATGTCTACGGCCACTGAGGCGACTTATATATACAGCCCCATGAGCCTGACTCTACGTAATCAATACGGGTATGTCGTGACCTTAAGATGCATCTGTATCAGCAAAACTAGGAAGTATACTGTATACATGGACTCATGCAGTCGCCTTGGCCGCTTCTACCACATCAGGCAGGTCATCCAACTCCCCCGAGTCCATCGCCCGTTCGCTCGCGCTCTTCCATCCCTTCTCTTGTACCAAGTCCAGAAAGTGCGCCCACTCCGTAGGCTGTATCCCGTAACCTTCAGTCTCATTGTCCGGAAAGCTCCCTCCCCTGACAGCAGCGACGTAGGCTCGAACACCGCGGGCTTCTTCCCTTCCAACTTCGGCAAACCGCCTGACGAACTTGGCCTTCTTGCCCGACCATCGACCCATCGCGTCGTCCCAGACCAACACCTGCCCACTCGTCCCTCTCCCAGCGCCGATGCCGACGGTCGGGACCCTCAGCTTTTCCGTGAGGAATTCGCCCAGTTTAGCCGGCACTGCTTCAATCAAGAAGGAGAACGCGCCGGCTTCCTGCAGACGAAGGGCGTCTCTGTATAGATTCAAAGCGCTTTGTCCTGTCTGTCCCTGCACTCTGTATCCAGAGAGCGCGACATGCCGTTGAGGCATCAAACCGATGTGCGCCATAACGGGCACGCCGATCTGCGTGAGGCGCTCGACGATAGGCACGATCTCCGCTCCGCCCTCAATCTTGACAGCTTCGGCTCTTCCTTCCTGCATCAACCTCACCGCGGCGCGTGCCGCATCGTCCAGCCCCGTATGATAGCTGCCAAAAGGCATGTCGACCATGAGCAGAGGATGAGTTGTCCCGCGTGCAACGGCTCGGCAGTGGTGCAGCATCTCGTCGAGCGTAAGCTGGGTCGTACTGCTATAGCCCAAGCAGACTTGTGCGAGCGAGTCGCCGACGAGTGTTACGTCCACTCCTTGTGCATCGAGCGCGAGTGCCGTAGGATAGTCGTACGCCGTGAGCATACTGATTGGCGTGCCCGCTGCATGCAGCTGCTGCAAGTGTCGGATGGTGACCTTCTTCCGCGGCGGTTGAGCTGTGGCGCAGGATCAGAACATGGATCATGGGGGTTCTATGGATCGCGATTTGGTTGTGGCGCGTGTACGCACTGTGGTCAAAGGCATTCGCAGCCGGACGCACGCTCATCGCGCGCCTACCCTGTCCAAGGCCAAGCGCCCATCTCCCGAGCGCGGCGCGGCGGCATAGGTCGTGTGCAGTCCCAATACGGAAGACAGACATCTCCAGATCTGGCGTAGGCGCCCAAGTGTGAGGATTGTCGCGAAAAAAAGAAGTGCTTCGATTTTGGCGCCTTCAAGAGCTGTCAAGCGCGCCGATCCTCGAGGTTGTATTGTAAGACACAGTCAAAGCCTGGTACGCTTTATATGCAGCGCCACATGAGACGAGGGTATTGTCCTCGTATGGTGCAATCTTGACGATCGTGCGGTCCCAGGCCGGATACGAGAAAAACAGGTGCGCGCATGGATTGGCCGGACGGAACTGGCAGGTGGCCGGAGAACGGTTATTTGCGTCGTCCGAGGTCGCGGCGCGGCGCGGGCCGGAAGTACATCTTGTCCCGAACAGTCATGTACGCTGTGAGGCTACGGCCTATGTTGTCGCTCATCGCCATGCTATTGAGTGTCTCGCCGTGGTGGTCGGTGTATGCGAAAGAATTCAAGATGTAACCTCTGCTTTGATATGCCCACGAGCGCCCGCGTCATTGGCTAGACGACGTGAATTAGGCGTGTCCGACGCAACGGAGCGGCGTGCTAGACTAGCCAGTACCGAGCATATGGGCTGGTATGAGAGCGCTCAGTACGTACGTACTCATGTACTTAATGGCCCACAAACAGTTCTCAATGCACGTCGGCGATAAGGCTCAAGCCCGTTATCGCCCACTCGCGAGTATGTACGCGACAAGATCGTCGTACATTGAACAACTTCTTTCGGCCGAGCTCACGCGCAAGGCATATACCTCTTCCCATAGCTGCTCATGCTGGGCCCTGGTAGCGCTTGATAGGCGCGGGTACCTGTACTCATCAGCACGTCGACATTGACAGTTGAAATGGTGAGGCGTCTGCATACGCTATTTTGGCCACTGGGCGTCCATGGGCTCCAGCGTTGCCATCGGAAGCCCTTCTTGACCCCTGACTTCGACTTACGTGCTCCAGCTCGCAGAACTGTAGCGCTCGCTAGGCCGCGGCAGTCTGGTTCAATAAACGCGCAGATTTTCCATTGGGCATTACTACTCTGACGGGCCAGTTCACCGACTCCGCCAAGTGGACTGACAATCCATGTACCGCCGTCAATACGCGACATCGAACGCTCACACCGCACAACCATCAATCGCAGCACAGACTTCGCAACTTGACGTTCTCATCAACTAGTTCATGATCGCACGCCGCACGTCCGGCAAAGCCACCGGGGCAGTATTGGCTTTATGAGCAATTGCATCCTATGTATAAGGACCTGCTCAAACTGCGCAGCCCTTCTTCTCTTTCCCCCCGTCCACCATCATCGGGGGAATGGGCGATGTAGAGGTGTCCGGGTCGTTCGTGGGCAAGCTCCAGTTGTCGACGGGGCCACTGCTGTTCCAGACAGCGCTGTTCGGCATGCACACATTGCTCGTTGTCTTGTCGGTGTACATTCTCACGTGGGTCTCTCACCATTCTCCTAATAATGGCCTTAACTCACATATACTTCGTAGCGGCAAGGGTCTGAGCGTGAGACGCCGCGCGATACTACTCGCTCTGATACTAGTGATATACGCCTGCAGCACGATGCATTGGGCTATTGCGCTTGACTCGTTCCGCAAGCTCATCGCACATCCTGGGCAAGCGCCAGGACCCGCACCGGCGGTTACGATTACGGGCGTCGTGGCCATAGGTGTGAACGTACGTCAATGCTTGAGTATCAAGTTAGGGTGGTTCTAATGTACGTGTCCAGGTCGCGCTCAGTGATGCGATTGTGCTTTGGAGAGCTCATGTACTCTGGGGTCGAGGTCGTATCGCCGTTTTCGTTTCGCTCTTCCTTCTCGTCCTGACACCAAGTGCGTTGTGCATACCTTCTACTAGTACAAGGGCTCATGTGTTGCACAAGCCTTTCTACTTACGAACGTCGTCATCCTCGCAAAGACTACTCTGTCGAGAAAGTCGCTTGCGCAAACGGCGGGCGATACGGTCATCGGGAGTCTCGGAGTGCTATCATCGTGTGTGACGAACATCTGGGCGACTTCTTTGGTGGTACTACGGACGGTGTGAGTGAGCCCTGGTGTCTCTTTCCCTTCGCTGCAGGACAGGGCTGATAGGCTGTTTGTTAGGAAGTACCGCAGAGAGTTCATGAAGTTCCTTCGGAACTATCGGCAAGGACGGTCAGAGAGGGTGCTCATGCTCCTGGCCGAGAGCGGTATCCTGTACTGCGTATTCTGGGTGTGTGTTTGCCGCATACATGCTTCATTCTACGAGGCGCTAGAATAACACGGCTAGATCGTGATATCGGCTCTGGCCTTCGTCGGTATAGACGATGCCCGGACGGAGGACAAGTCATCCGGACCACTCATGGCACAGTCCATCGTGTTCGCCGGCATGGCCCAGCTCTGCGTACGTCCTACCCACGACCCTCTCTTCTCGTCCGATCTGAGTCTGCAATAGGGCATATACCCGACCGTGATCATTGTAGCCGTGTGCCTCCAAGGCGTCACCTACAACCCGAACATTTTCACCGGCCAGATACCTGGCCCAGATGTCGAGAACGGGCACGTGTCGACTGAACTCGAGTTTGCTCCGCGCTGTCGCAGTCGTACCCCGGCAACGGTTAGGACTCGAGATCGGAGGAGCATAATCACCATCTCTGTCGGCTTACAGCTTTCTGAGCTCTCGGTAGGGCCCGAAACAGAACAGGAGTCGCGCGAGCAGTGTCAGCGGAGACGGCAAGAGACCGAGGAGAAGAAATTTGTACGGTCCGACGAAGTGCTGTAAAGGACTCGAGCCAGAAGTCCTGAGGCCACAATGCGCCTTGTACGATAACGAGAACTATGTACCTTTGCCTGGATGTCAAATACTAGACATACTATGATCTCATATCGTGACTCGGAGTCGCCCCCAAACCAGAGGTAACGAGAAACGTGCTCGTATCATGGAAGATATACTACATGGGAACATGGCGGGACATTGGACATTATCATCAGAGCGATCACGATAGTCCTATACACTAATGCTGGAACGAAAGTCTGCGTTCGGCGCCAATGCTACAGCTCTGAAGTTTCGATGGCGGATGCGGACGAGGACAGTGTCCTCACTTTCTACAACGAGCCTTGCCGTACCGGACGACGATGGGTGGTGGGAAAGCTGGGAGCAGTTGCAGCTGCAGTTGAAATGGCGCAGGTACTGAAGAGGATACGGTTGGCATTCCTCCCTTGAATGGACGGATGTTGGCTGTGTAAGGGATACTGTCATGAGCACGAGTCGATCACACGGGCATTGAATGGGTACGCACAGTCCACGGTAGCGATCTCCCAGATCCAGACTCCTGTGAAGATCATAGTATGTGGTTGAAGGGAGTGCCTTCCGCGATGACTTCAAAACACCGAGAAGTGCCCCGGTGAACAACCCTCGTCTTTCCCGCTCTTCCTCGGAGTGCCCTTCGTGTTGCGGCCCTTCGATCGCGATCTCACGTGCGTACTCTCCCAAGCTGCACGCATGAAGAACAACGTACGGCCCATCCTCGATCCCTTTCCAGAACTCGTCCAAGCCCATTCGGACTGTGCCTTCGCTGCGGTTGAGGCAGCAGTCAAATACAAGTGTCTGCCAATGACAGGTCAAAGTGTGATCAATCGACAGAAGATGGAGTGCTGACGATGTTGTCGCCTATGCCAGACCTGCCTGAACCACTTGATCCGGCCAACGACCGTAACGTCTTGTCCAGCCAAGCGAACGAGATAACCCGGTGAAGACGCTCCTTGTCGTGCATGTCGAATGCAAAGTCATGTGGCAGTATGCTCGGGATGCTCTTGCCAGTACCCGCGGTTGTGATCAGGCGTCCATGTCCCGCAAAGTAGATGAAGATCGGATCGCCCGTGCTGAACCCCGGGCGTGTACCCAAAGCCTTGATCTCGCTCTTAATGGCACCGCATGTAGCCGCACTGTCACGAAGGTTGACGATCTGGTCGTCCGGGACACCCAGATCATGGTGTAGATAGTTCCGGACGTCATCGGCGTCCCCGACGGCGCCGCGAAGGTTCCACGCGCGGTGGCGGTGAGCGAACTGATACTCGTTGACACCGATGACGAGCGCCTGAACTTTAGATGTGTGCGATGCGAGACTGCCATTGCTGTGATTGAGGTTGAGCTCTCACGATCTTGGGTAATCAAACGGATAAAGCACTTACGGGTCCACAGCGGCGTCCGAGCCCGAGCAAGCGATAGTTTCCTCGGGCACGTCTGAGATCGAGATGCCTTCATAGCGAGACGGTGGCAGTCGAGACGTTGGCGATAGGCTTGGTATTGACGAGGGTAAGGATATCGCCCTACTTCTGGCTCGTGGTTCGCGGCTCCGGACTAATGATTGGCGCTGAGGCCGAGGCAGGACTCTCACGCGCAGCCGGCCTTCTTGGTTTCTGTAACAGTGCACGGATGTGAGCGCTTGAGCAATAATGCGTGCAGAGCACCAACGGAACACACTCACACGATGATGCCACTAGTCCGGGTTTCTCCGCTACTGAAATCGTGACGACCGCAACAGGTTGGCACATCGCTGAAGTCGGCGCCCGGGTGGTGGGCGTCTGTGCTTGGAACTGGACCACAGAAGCGTGATGCAGTGCGATCGTGCGTATCAATCAGGCCTTGAGAGCCCATAGTTGAAGAGGCGCCAAAGAACACATCGCGGATGTTGATGGCCGGGCGTGAGATACGAGAGGCAAGTGGGCTATAGGACGCCGATTGCAACATGCCCCAACCATGGACGAGCTGGCTGAAGCCAGACCTAGCAGTGTTGGTAGACTGCTGTGGGTGAATTTCGGGAGGAGGGGTAAGCATTTGTAGGAAAGGGAGAGCCAGTAGGAGGCGGGATGAGGTTCATGACTTGCAGACTCATACGCCTTTATAGCCCGTTGAGATATGCTTCGTTGGTACCGGAGACGCCCTATGCAAATGGCGGAGCCATCAGTCGAGGGATAGCAGATACCGTACCAGTACGATCAGGACCCCTTCCATGGTCAAAAGGATTCAGTGCCGCGCGTTACAAACGGGTCACGTGTACATCTGTAACCGAAGAAAAAGATACTGAGACGACGGCGTCGGTAGTCCCGGGATAACGAGCACGATACCACGGGGCAAAAAGGCGCTCGTGCTTGCGCAAACGGTTCGTATACATCTGGAAACCAGATCAGAATTGGCACAGATACGCATGCGCTCATATTGGACATGCTGTACGCCAGCGAAGCTGGCGCGAGACTACGATTAGGAACTCGGACCCATTGACCAGAGGTGCGAACCTGAAATCGGGGGAGATGTCAGTGGTTGGTCGTGTATCAAGGTACCAAGAGGCGTACCATGTCGATGTCCGAGGGTGGGATTCTGCAGTGCATCGTGCGCCCAATGTCATGTAGGAAGTATGCAGACGAGACCGTAGCCGCGATATCAGGTACAGAGAAGACCGCCCGCGTGGCGATGAACAGAGCTTGTGTGTGTGCCGAGCATTCGCCACAGAGATCGGACTCGTCGTATAGACGCTGGTCCGTAACAAAACTTGATGTCTGCGTTCGGGCGGCAAAATTGGCCACGGAGGCTGAACCAATTGCAAGAAGATCACGAGCCCGCTTCAACCCGCGCCGGTGTCCAATATGCGACGGAAGGCTGTGTAACAGCAGCACTTCTGAATATCCTTCGAAGCTAGTGGGTCCGAGTCCTACATACTAGACAGGGGCATAGCGTTTATTTGCACGGCGCAGTTCACGATACCACCGAAACTTCGAAGCACCATGGTGGACAAGAACAAGTTGCACGGGGAGGAGTTCCGCAGATCTGCCACGCCCAGTCCGGCCGGCCGAAGGGTTGAAATCGCCAAATCCACGTGTTGCGTTCCCGCGCCATAGCAGCCAGTACCGTACGGCAAAGTGGTGGTGTGCTCTCGTTGAGACCCATAAGTACTCTCTATGAGCTATTTTCCTCGAAGGAGCGGCCTGGCGTACGCCGTACGGGAGTGCCACACGTAAATTTCAGCGCCCACACGTGAATTTGGCGATTTCAATCTCCCTCTTAATGACGTCAAATTACATAGCCCGGCCATCACCGTGCGTCCCGGTTAGGAAAGCGGCGGGATTCACGGATAGCCTTGACGAGTAGTGGCGAGTGGCGGAGCGCGAAACCGTTCAGAGAACATATAGACCAGTTCCTCGGATGCAATGCCAATTCAGACAATCGGAAAGACGTATCGAAGGTTCCTATAAGTCCTATAGTCTACTGAGTAGTGATGGACATAATCACCTGGATTCAGCCTCGGATATCTGGCGCGGATGTTGGTCTGATATCCGCCCTATCAGGGCGATATCAAGGGCGGATGTGGGATAAGCTTTGGCCGAAGCATATTCGGGCCTGATGTAGACGCGTGACCACGTGCACCGCGAACGCGCGCACGCGCAGCGCGTCGCGTCGCGTCTCCTTGAACTTGCTCCTCACGTCGATGGCATCCCTCGTATTCAGAGCATAGGGCGCGCACATGAAGCGAGAAAAGAAATCAGACCCGCGCTTTCCGTGCCCTTGCATACTGTGCTCTTCGTGTAGTCCGGCTCGTACGCAAACTCGGCAGACCATCGAGCGACATCTAGAGGCAGATGCTCGGAGACAGCGAGAGCAGCAGGCCATCGCTCCAGCTGCTACTGCGGCATTCCAGCCTTTCACGCTATCGAGGCAGGCCGATGCTCCTCTCGAGACTGAGCACATCGCTGCCCATCCGGCACCCTCTTTATCGCGAAAGCGCCGTCGGTCCGATACACCAAGCGAAAACTCAGGAGCGATATAGAGGGTTTCGGTGGAGATGATGAACATGGGCAAGGCGATGAGGACTGGGGTACTGGACCTGATGGAGGGGACTGGATGTTTGAGGACACGAGTAGCAATGGTGGCGAAGATCGGAGTAGCACACGGTTTTCTGTAGGATTATCGAGCCCAATGCAATCGAGTAGTATGTCCCGTCGTGTGAAGTGCACAATAAATACTTGAGCTCATGTGCTTCAGTTGGTCCGGCCAGCTCTGATATGCCAATAGACGAAGATGTGATCTCAGTTCACTCGCAGTCGGATGGAGCTGGTATGTCTACCCCGGTCTCCATTCTATGGACATTCTCGCTTAACCAGTCCAGGGCACCGATCACGTTCACGAAGCCCCTCTCTCAGATCCGGGTATACTACAGATGAGGTTGAACGAGCTGGTAGGATCAATGAGCATCCGTGAAAGAGTCTCGCAAGCTCATGGCTGTTTAGACACTGCGCCCTCTCGCCCCTCTCGCTCCCGTCGTAAGCCAGACGTGTATGAGCTCACAGACGACCAGAGCTCATCTTCCGATGATGATGTGGATGACACTCGCCGTCTCACTCGTCACAAGAGTCGTCTGGCACAGTTACTTGGGCGAGTTCATGGTCCCGAAGATCGCTCACCCTCGCCCATGGCAGCCTCGGATGATGCGGACGACACCGACAGTTCGGGCGCACTGATTCCCTCGGACGACGAGGAATCGTTAGCGGACACTGGGGCAGGCAAAGACCCTTTCATGCGTGACTCCGACGACGATGAAGGGTCACCCGATCTGGAAGATGAACTCCCAGAAGACGACGAGTGCACTCTCCCTCCCGCTTTCACTGAGCACCCCCGTCTGCGCTTCGCGTATGTCAACGCATTCGTACAATCTGTGTTTCATCAAGCCAAGGATGATGCTGTCCATCAGCAGCTTTACGGGGCATACTTGAACCGTTTTTACCATCCGACTTGATTCTGCTCAAGCTCTGTGCCTGCACAATTCGCTGAATCGGGTTAAAATCTTCCACGCCTCTTTATACAGTTCATGGTGCGTTTTGCTTTTGATTTTTGCGTTTGCTGTCCTGTCGTGATGCATGGCTACCTGTGTATATAGAAATTTCGTTGTATTATGAGGTCCCTGGTGCTGTATCGGGTTTGGGAGACTGACTGCATTCCGACGGGAGACGGTGATGTGTTGATGTCTCTCGTCATGCATTTGACATGATGTTTCTTTTTGTCATGATCGTCAGTCAGCAGATGTGTGTAGGTCGGCTCGCTGCCCGAATATGCCGACAACTCCGATCCGTATCTGTGCATTTACAGGCCAGTACGTTTTCAGCATGCGTATACGTACCGTGACATTCACGCTTGTGATGGTATGACAAACAGTTGATTTGCATGATGTATGAGTGTGGTGTGAGGTGACAAAGTAAAGTACGACTTGGGGCTGGTAATTAACAAGAGTGTGCGAGTTGTTGGAAAGTTGCGGGAATTTATATTGTCAAGAGCGTGCGGTCAGATGAGCAAGAATAAGGTCGTGATAACTGATGTGGTCGTACTGGTGGCGTGGCGCAGAGGCTTGGAATCTATTGCTGTTCGTCCCGTTTTATGACGTTATGCGTGGTACCTCATGTATCGACTCGGGATCGACGAGCGTCTTTGTTGGCCGTCCGCTCATCGACGACGTGTGCGTACATGTTCAGCGCTGCGATGATGGGAGCCTCCATATAGTGATAGTCCCGGTAGATGAATAGGCCGTTGAAGTTCCCGGACAACGTTAGTGTCATTGATATTGGCGACGTTGCCCGGTCACGCAGCCAGTGCCATATCGGCACGAGGTCTCCGAGATTCGTCCCGTGTGGTAGGTTTACCGTCAGGTTCGTGATGGGTGCGATGAGCGGTACGGCGCTCAAGAACTGAATGTGTTGGCGGTCTGATATCGTTAGCGAGCGCAGGCCGGAGAGCGCGGCGAGAAGATCGTGAGGGTGAACGCGGATCGAAGCGCTGCTGTCGTCGGTGCGGTTTGTTGTAGTCAGATGGCGGATCTGATCACAAGGGAAGTTGTCAACAAAAGCTTTCCAAGTCCACTTCATGTGCCGTTCGCCCATGCGAAACATGACTGTAAAGCGTTTTGGAAATGATATGCGCAGGGCGAAGAACTGCTCGCGAACGTGCTCCCCTTCTCGTAAGACGATCTCGTTTCCGTACCGGATCTCGAACGACGAAGCGGCTTTGCGTTGAACCCCGACCAGGTCCACGGATTGCGAGAGGGCGCTCTGGATGTGCGCGATGGAGTACAGCTCAATGGTCACGTTCGAGGACTCTTTGACATTAAAGTAATTGTTCAAGACTGAAACAAGGTCTTCATTATGGCAAGCCACTTCGATAATAGACAGTGCCCGGCGATTATGATCGTCGCGGGGTTTGAGCTCGGCTATCGTGGTAGTGTTCACGCAGCGACGGATGTGGATCTCGTTAAGAAGAGGCGAGTTGTTGAATATGGACACTAGAAAGGTGACAGGAACAGGACATTCTGATAGTTGGGCAGCATCGGAGCGCATGCTCAGCGATTGGAGCTGTGGTGCGTTGAATTCACCGCGAAGATGATTGGCACATGCCACGAATAAGTCGAGATCTACTAAGTGGGCGAGGTGCGTGCGTTGTAGCGTTGATGGCAATAGGCGGGACAGGCCTTGGACGGTGTGCTTTCGCGCGCTTGCGAACAGCGCATGTGCTCTGCTTAGCACTTCGGTGTTTAGGATCGCACTGATCATGGCTGGGTTTGTTCGGTTGCGACCGCTGTTTTCGATCATTAGGTCGAGGTCTAGCCACAGGGAAGCACTGCCAGATCGCTGCAAAAACGTGTTGAAAATGTCGACGTCGTTAAATGACGTTGCCCATAGCGCCCAGATCAGCTTCGAGTCCAGTAGTATGGATCTCCAGTGTCGAGAAACATGCCCTGCGGTCACCCAGCCGAGATCGACTATTCTGGTCGTCTTATTGCACCGGCCTGCTGGCCATGCCACGGCCAAGTACATGAATATCTGAAGGAGCGTTTCAGGTGCGATGTTTTGGATCATTGCCTGTCGAATCATTAAGAAGTGTGGTGTAGAATGCGTCCTGAGTACGCACCATAGTCACTATCGCGCCGATGTTTTGGACAGAATGTCACAGTACGTTCGTTGTGTGGTGGTGGTTAGGAGCGAACCTGTCCGCGGCAGCTGACATGTGCTAAGTTGGCGCTTGTATTGCCACGCGACTTATCACGTGTTACACTTGAGCATATCGTCTGTTCGGGCGCAACGCGGATCTTTCGGTTGTTCGGTTGTCGTCTTGTGATCGTTTTGGGAGAACGTACCTGTGGCAGCTTTTGCCAGCGGCTGCGTTTAGTCGGTGCTGATCGCCTTGCCGGGTTGGCCATTTGTCGATGAAGATGAGACTGTTTGGTGTTAGTGGGCACGAGGGCGCGAGATGATCGCGCGGTCAGGTGGGACGGGACGGTGCGAAAGTTCGTGCGTAGGTGAAGGGACGCTGATTTGGGAGATGCGCGAGGATAGGGAAAGGCTTGTGAATATAGGACATGCATACAGGTTGGATAGCATCGACTGGCGTAGAATTGTTATTGGGAATTGAAAAAACATAAGGAGAGCCCGACGCCGAAGGAGAGGGGGAGAAAGTCGAGGAGACGGTGGAGACTCGGCAGCGTACGGGGGCTGCGGATCTCATAGCTGATGCGGAAACGCGATGCGCTCGCAGAGTCGTGGTGGACGGCGTGATGGGAAAGTGTATGCATCTACGTCGTCTCGAAAGACGACATTGCCATGCGCGATTGGGCCTCCTCCTAATGGGGCAGGCCTTTCTAGCTCGCTCGAGTTGGAATCTTGGCTTTTGCTATTGGCGTTTGGCTTGTTGAGTCTGTGGGTCTGCAACTGTGCACGTCGTTTGCGGTTTCTTGTTGCGAACTTTTATCGTATTCTCTATTGTTTGTCTTGGGACCCTGTATATTGTACCATCAACCTCGTTCTCTTCATGGTATTAACATACATCTACGCGCCTCGCGTTCCTCCCTTGGGCGCATCTGGGCCGGCGTCGGGGATCATTATGGCGTTCCAGGCACTTTTAGTACCGTCCATCATGCATACAATCCCCGCGTCTCGAGCTCACACCATGGCCTGTTGATCATGTGTTTTCTATTCGTTGCTCGCATGTCGTGTGCGACAGATAGCCTGGTCGATCGTGTCTACTGGGCTCCGAGTACACTACTGCTGTCCTACATGCGTGCCGCAACCGCCCTTCGTATTATTCCCCGTTATGCCTTACTTGGTACTCCCGTATGGCTTGAGCCATCGACTGAGGGAGTGTTGTTGTTGAGAATAGACTAACCAGAAGGAGAGTCCGAGACCGAAACAGAGAGGGAGAAAGTCGAGGAGGCGGGGGTGGCGCACGAGGGCTGCATATCTCGTGGCTGATCCGG